ATCTACACACCTCACCTATGACTGATCCTGCTCCCCTAACAAATTTTAACTCTAATTTTGTTTTTACAATGTCATTTTTACAAACATTTTGCAAATGTAGCCAATTTAACTGTAACATTTTAGTTGCAATAAGTGAATTAGTCACTTGTTCTGCGCTATGCATCTATGTTTTTCTTCCCTTATCCCACAGAACTTCACCTGGTGGACCAAGCTGACTGTTTAGCTATGCAAAACTTTTGCGGTTTGTCAGATACATAGACACCAGTTCAGTGTGAGTGTAAAGAACATTTGACATTTTTGACAATAAAATCATTGGTTGATTCTGTGCTTTTGCTTTTTTATAATCACATTTTCCAAACTTGCATACATATATGCTGAACCTACACAAGCAGATGTATTATTGGTCAAATAACAGTTGTACAAATGGTCGGCAAAACATAGAAGACACATGTGTCTGAAAATGGCAGCACTTCCATGAGTGACAAGAGGAACATCAGCCATCATCTCGGTTAATTTCCACACCACAGTGACAGTGCACTTCCAGTGTATCGGGGAGTGAGAGAGACTAATTGAAAAGCAAGAGTGAGCATGAAGAGAGGTTCAAATTATGCCCTCACACAGCAGAACAAGATATCAAATCTTCAAGGCACAGCAGAACAAGCAGTGCGGAAAATTGCACACACAGAGGCTGACTAGTTTTCAACAACGGGGACACTTTTTCACCAAATGTTTGTTTTTTATGTTAATTCTGGGACTATTATACAGCACGCAGTCTGTCTGGCAGCAATATGTTTGTTAGAGCTTGTGCCTCTTCACGAACGTAGTCGGCCATATGACACCGCTCATGTCCAGCTGTGAACATTGTGTGCTCCACCAGCAGAAATACAAGTAATCTACTTTGTGTGAGCAACTTTGATGTAAAAAGATCATTGATTTCTGAGCACTCGGGTCTTTATCCTCATACGGTTCATTTCTCCCAAGACGGCAGGCTTGAAGACTCTCAAGGCCCTGTCATCTTTCTTCACATATCTATCCTTTAAAGTGACCTTGTCGTGGGCTAAATCCTTCATTCAACCATTTTGGCTCTAACTGTCAGCTCCAGTTGGATTTAATGGATCTTTTGTTCCTATTCTCTGGAGCTGTAATTAACCATCTGAAAGCACTCCAAAATCACATCAGCTGGCAAGCTTTGTTCTGTCCTCCTCTATATGAAATTATGCTAATGATTATATTTTTCTTTTCTTTTTGTCTGGTATTTATGAGCAGTTTTGGGAACAAGCAGTTTTCTGATGTACTTGCTAAAATTGTTAACACAAATGAATGAATATCAAAAGGATAATTGAGTCATCTCCATGGTGACTAAAATGTGGAGCAAGCCCTAAAACATTTTTAGACATCAACTCCTGTGGAGGGAGCACAGCAGGTGATGTGAGACCAATTACAACTTGTTTTAAAGGATCATTGTGGCAGGCGGCACAGGAGCTGAGCTGGGGGGAGATGAGTTTGCAGTTTGCAATGTGTGGCTCAGTGCTGCTTCTTGAACCAACAGGTGGCAGTATTAGAGAGCCCAATTAATCTCAGAGCTGATCAAGAGGCTCCACTCTCTAGCTAAGCGATTTGACACACTCTAATTTCACTAATTTTGTTTGCTGTATCAAAGCTCACTTTTGATTGGGCAGATTACTCCTGTGCTGTTCAGGAGAAGCCCAGTAAATTATAGACAAATTATTTTTATTGAGTCTAGAGGCTACATGTGTTGGTGTACATGGTGTATATTTCAAAATCACTGCACTTCCACCTGTTTAAAATATTGCCATTTGTAGACACCGAAATACATTCTTAATCTTAAGTTGGTATGATGTCACTTCCATGCCAGCGGCACTTCAGTAGGTGTTGCTATGGCAACCGTCCCTGTTATCCGTGGTTCACCAGCCACCTTTCTCCTTCTGTCCAACCCTCCCTCTCTTGTCCTCTATTTCTTTCAATTTCTCATGCACTGCTCATCAACAGAAACCCCGAGTCCTGCTCAGAGAGAGACTGGACAACAACACTGCAACATCACAGGTACGAACAAAACATGTCTGTGTTTGGTCTGAGAGAAAACTAATTAACCTACCGCTTTAAAGCGACAGGTTATAAAGCATACTATGATGTTACTTGATGCTTTTATAAGCTTAACATTGTACAAAAAAAATGATAAAAAATCATTTTATTCTGTTTTCAACAGGTTGATTTATCATTAGCCATGATTCCCTTGTTTTAGAAATCTATTTGAATTTAATATTGCTACTGGATTTTACTCATGTGAGCAATCTGTGCATGTGGTAAACCAAACTAAAAGGTATCTTTCTCCTTAAGGCTGCAACAAACTATTCCCAAGCCAGTAGAGGCACACATCCTCCAGTCATGCCAGAAGTCGCCCACATCATGTCAGTGAAGCCAGAGTTGCCCACAGTGACTCAGTCCAGTTTCAGTGCTGCCCCAACATCCCTCAGTGTCTTGACCACCACACTGCTTCCATGGGAGGAGTTGCACATGCAAGTGCACACCATCCTTATTGTCGTTATATTTTGTGCGGTCTGCTTCCTGCTCCTGCTGGCCTTCTTCTATGCCTTCTGCTTCCATTGCTCCATCAGTTCACCGCCTAAAGACTCACACACGAGCAAGAGACGCAGTCAAGAGCGTGAGGACGCCACTTATAGATGTAGCTCCTCTGATAGCCAGTCAGTGGGAAACGTTGTCTGACTGGACACTGCACCCTATAACTGACATCTGGGTGTCCAGTGTACTTGCTTTAGTAGCATGTGTGGATGTGCATTACAGATTGTAATTACAAGTTCCTTAAAGCAAAGTATTAGATTTTAGACACTGGTTTGACTCCATTAGTTTAACTTTGATACTGATTTGTGTCTGTAACAGGGGCACTAGAGAATCCCAAAAATACGATGCATTTGAATCTAAATTAAAAGGTTATTTTCTAGGCTTCCTGATTTCTCTGAAGTTTGCAGGTACACGGTAGCACACAAGTATATTAATATAACCATATCTATTGAAAAGTGTGTTCAATAAATGCAAATGTCAGTCTGAAAGTCAATGCCTTTGAGTGACAAGACAATAACAAACCGAGGAACACAACTCACTCATCTTCATTTTCACTGACCTGACAAGCAGTGACATCGTGCAGTGGCTGCGTACTTGACAAGACTGATACCAAACAATGAATTCAGACATGCAAGATGAAGGTGACAGGAGGAAAGAGGACAGAGGAGAGGTTCAGAACGATTTTTCTTTACAGACTGAAACAAGATGTCTGATTAAGGCGCAGCAGAACAAACAGTAGAGGGATTTGCTGAGCCTTGGTCCAGCTGAACCACGTAGCAGTGAACACTCTTTGGTACTAAAACACATTACACAATGGGTACACAGCAAACCTTTTAGTGGTAAATGCATTGAGGTGACTGATGTGCAGCATTAACTAGAGAAGTGTCACTATAAGCATCCTTATAGTGAGACTGGGGAAGAGACGGTTGATTTAATCACACCGATAACAAAACAGCAAATGTAAAACAATACCAACAGCTAATAACCCAGCAAAGGAGTCTTAAGTAGAGCTAGAAGCTGTGGTTAAATCAGACTCTGAAGTCTAGTAATCTAACAATCCTGGCACCAGAGAATTCCGCCTCACCTTATGAACAGACATCTCCTCCAGAGACACCACCCTCATCTGTTCCTGCTACAGGAGGGAAAGTCTTAGGGCAAAGACATAGATCTCAAGGATCTGCTGATGGCTTTACTGATAGTGAGTCTCAAACTGTGGTCACGCTGCCTGAGCATTCCCACCGTTGTCCCTCTTTCCTTTTTGGTTTCAATTTCAACATTTCTCTAAAAATAGATTAAGAGATAATAAAAGTAAAAGAGTGATTTAGGTTTGGACATAAGGATGCTTGACATATGCAAGCATATTCAGAGACATCTGCTCATATAGGTAAAAGTCTTGTTATGGAGGGGAGCAGAATGGCAGGTGGCAGATTTTCAATAGAATTACTGGATGAAAAATGAGTCACTCCTGCTTTCTTGAGATTGGCACCTGAAATCAGCTGCCTCAGAAACCTTGGGGAATCATCTTGCTGGCATTATCACTAAATATACAACCTCAAAGTCAGGCTCGCTGATAAAATACACTGGCAAATCAACAAAGAAGTGGCAAATACTAGCTCTGAATACTAACTGTGTTGATTCCCCAGAGCCAAAACATTGCGTGTTTTTTTAGCTATGGAATGTTTATTGAGTCTGATGGCTGATACAAATGCTCCATTATCACAAATTAATGTGTTTGGGTCTTATGTAGCTTGTGTGTAGCAGGGGGATAACATTTACTTTTGAATGGAGACATGCACTTAATGTTTACTGTGTTATTAAATTTTGGCTTTTTAGAGACTTGTTTGTGCATTTGACTGTGCTCTGCTGCATATACTTTTATTGCACTGCTGGGGATAAAGTTTCCTGAAATGACTGAATTGAGTTGTGTCTTCTATAGGAAATGATCATTTACTACATGTCATAACAGTTGACTAAATGCAGTTGACTTTCTTTGACCCCTCTTTCCAATAAACTCTATTATTTCTTGATAATGTATAGTCAAACTGTCATCTCTTCAACAAAAAAAAAATAAATAAATTTCTACCTCTCCAATACAATTCTAAGCTATTTAATATGCTCTTATTTCTGGCTAAATCATTTAAAATTAAACATGCAAGTAACAAGCTGACAGGTTCAGGTAATATGACTGACATTACTAATGAGCAAACAATATCTTCTTGACAGGTTTCTGATTAAAAGTACACTTCAAACATTATAAACATGTCAAAGCCTTCATTAAGGTGACACGCAACGCAATCTGTCATACAAATGTCCAATCCATCAAGAAGTGACAGACATTAACCCGTCAGAAGACAGTTGTAACAAGCAAGTATCCACAGATGACTGACATTACCACCAGACAGATTAATGACGTGCAGCCAAAGACAAATAAGCAAAATTAATGATTCTCAACATGACATCAAAAAAAAAAAGCTCCTTCTGTCTCACCGTCGCTGAAGTGCGACAGGTGCCTCAGTGTCTGTGTAGTCTGGGCAGCCATCCAGACTGATAAGTTCGCTCTTTAGGCCACTGGGGTCACCTCTCAGTCAATCTTATACACAACACTGATTAAATATAGTACAGGACATAAAATGAAAAACAGATACAAGGAATATATATGAGCATATAATGAATTAGTACAGTTAAACCTCTGGACCTCGCACAGCCCCCCCTTTGAAAAATGAAGAAACTCCTTTCAGGTGTTTGTGACACTTCTGAGCATCATCAAGTGAGACAGTGACCAGAGAGAACAAAATAATAATAATAGCACCACTTTGCTCCTTATAGGCGCATACTGACTTTGTCCTTGCTCTTGCAAACTTTTATTAGCCTCATGTGTTATCATTGTTGGTTCACTCATGATTTTGCTCAACTTTCCATCGCTCCTCATGGGAGAAACTGCGAGGACTGTGTCACCGTGCAGCACGTAGCGTTCTGGCCTAGCATGCCTGCCACAACCATCGTAGTGTGGATACCTGCAAGCAGAACACCAGTTTTGTTCACTTGGTTCAATACTGATTGAACAGATTTACACACAGTCTATGTACCAAATCTCCATGTTGCTGCCATTAGCATGGAGTGCACATGTCACAGATGTTATGATGCAACCTGAACAGGAAAACAGTCACTCTTAAAAAGCAGTACATTAACAAATTCAGACCTTGGACATGGTGCATCTTACTGAGTGTGTACATGAAGACCACGTGCATTGGAGCAATGTGGCTACAAATGGGAATAAATCACACTACATAACTGAACAGTCACATCTGGGAATGCCTGGAAGAAGACGGTTACATTGTGTTTAGGTGTCCATTCAACATTTACATTCAGCAAGAGAAAAATCCTGTGTGCCCTGTCATAGATGCAAAATTTAATTTTAATCACAACTGTGCTTTGGTAGATGAATACCAGTTACATAAGAAAACTGATACCACTCTGCACAATATATACACAACATGGCCCTATCTATAATCCTGACTTCAGGAAGAACCCCTCCCCTCTGCTGCCTCTGACCATCAAAGGGACTGAGGTGGAGAGGCCTGACAGCCACAAGTTCCTGGGCCTGCAGGTGACATCTGACCTGAGCTGGTCACTGAACACAGCTGCCACAGTGAGGAAAGCCCAGC